ATGCTATTGCATTACATGAAAGTTGCCTTTTTCCATGCTGTGTGGAACAAACTTTTTGTATTTTTGTTGTTGTTACTTAAGGAGAACAACTTTGGCAACTGACTCCCTCCAGAATGTCATATGTAAACCATGCAAACTGTTTTCTATTGTAGTTAGAAGAATTACTTCCTTTCTTCCCATGAGAGGCCTGAGTGGATGGCTCAGGACCCACACTAGAGGACATGCACACATGCAGTCCCTGATCTGTGAAAAGTGCAGGGAATATGCCCTGGTTATTTGCCTAAAAGATTCTTACAACCATGAAGGACACTTTTCCTCAATGACATTGTGCTGTTTTATGGAAGCTATTTCTGGAAGAGCTTGTGTCACATGAAGAAAAAAGAGAGATGTGAAATACGTCTCTAAGTATGGGATTTTGGGTGTTCAGAGTGACAGATGAGATTGGAGCTAGGATTTTAGATCATCTCTATATCGCTTTTAAGAACATATCTAGATGAGTCATTATAGGCTTGAGGAGAGAGCTGACACTAGTGAGATCTCCAGAGATCTACAAGGATAACACTAACTGGCAAACTAAACAATAGTGGAGAGACTACACTAATAGCCCCTCCTTGATGATAGGGTTGATGACTACCCTATATGCCATCCTAGAACCTTCATCCAGGGACTGATGGAAGCAGAGACAGATACCCACAGCTAAACACTGAACTGAATTCCTGGAACCTAGTGACAGAGATGGAGGAGTGATGAGCAAAGGGGTCAAGACCATGATGATGAAACCCACAAAGACCAGATAAGGGGGAGCTCTTGAATCCCAGGCTGATGGATGAGAGGGGACTGATTTGGACTCCATGAATGTAGCCAGGAAGGAGGTCACAGAAATCACTGGAGCCTTGGGTAGTAGATTAGTGTTTACCATGGTTTATGAATGAGCTTTGGGAGCCCATTCCAAATAGAGGGATGCTCTCTCAGCCTGGACACATGGGGAAGTGCCAAGGTCCTGCCCTGGATGAAATGACAGACTTTAGAGATCCCCCCAAAGAGGGCCTCACCCTCCCTGGGAAATGATGTGGGGATTGGGTGGGGGGCTGGGGGGTTGGTGGAGAGGTAAGGGAGGAGGGGTGGGAGAGGGAGCTGGGACTGACATGTGAAACATTCACGTTTCTAATTTAAATAAAAACATACATTGAAAAAAGAACGTATCTAGAATTCACTAGATTACTTTCGTTAAGCTTTCCTTTCATGGAAGGCTTGGGGGAGGTGATGATTCAGCAGAGGATGAATGTGGAATGAACGGGCTGTATGGCCCTTCTAGTGTCGTGATCTTGTGATGTCATACACTGTAGGGGAGTCATCTTGGAACTCATTGCTCATGGCCTCAGTGCTATCTCTGTTGCAACTCACTGAGTCATTCACTTTTAATGCTATTTGTTTAATTTAGTCTTACCCAAGTTTTGCAAGAAATAAGCTCATTTTAACAGACAGAAAAATGTAACAGCTTGTTCTCCTTATCAGCTAGATGAGGTTCCAGTCTGCACTGGTCACATAGGAGGCAAAGGGTGACTTTCCCATCCTGAATGTGTGAGGTTTCCAGTTGGAAACAATGGGTCATAGAGTCATTAAACTCCATTTTCATCCTTATGGCTGCACTGATTTGAGTTTTATGTTAAATTGACACAAACCAGAGTCACTGGAGAGGAGGGAGCCTCAATTGAGAAAACACCTCCACAATATGGGGCTATTGGCAAGTCTATAGAACATTTCCCTAATTGGTGATTGACTGGGGAGGGCCCAGACCATTGTGGGTGGTGCCATCTCTGGACTGGTGGTCCTGGGTTCTGTAAGAAAGCAGATTGAGCAAGGCATAAGGAGCAAGCTGGTTAGCAACATCCGTCCATGGCCTCTTCATCATTTCATGCTTTGAGGATCCCTCCCTGTTTGAGTTTCTGTTCTGACTTCCTTCATTGATAAACAGTGATATGGAAGTGTAAGCCAATAATCCCTTTGCTTCCCAGCTTACTATTGGTCATGTTGTTTCATTACAGCAACAGTAACCCTAACCTGAACAATGACTCTAACTAAACATGTCAGCTGACAAAGTCAGCACCCAGAATATAGTAACAGTAACTTGACCTGGGTTGTCACATTAGGAAATATTAGCACTGGAATAAGCAGAGGAGGAAAATAGCACTTGAGACAAGATACTACAAGTCAACTCAGAGCCACCAGCCACGGCACAACGTTCAGTCTCCTAGCCCAGTAGTTAAAAGAGCAGTACTGGATGGTGGAGGAACAGGGCCTGTAGATCTGGCTGTGCCATGATGGTTGTGTAATCCAGGACAAAACATCTCTCATGTCTGCAGCTCTGTTTCCCCCTCTATAAAGCAGAATTGGTATTTTACAAAGTTACCTGAACACAGCTTCCTGTGCCCTGGGCGTGAGTCAAGGGTTTTATGACACTCTCATCTGAGCCCTGTAAGCACTGGGCTGGGAAAACCTCTCAAAGAACAAGAAGACACTGTGGCCGCTGCCATCCCCTCTCCTTCCCACACCAGCACAGAAGCTCCTTTTTCTTCTGTATGGGAAAAACCCTACCCCAAGGACCAACCATGTTTAGGCTGGAGAAAAGGTCATTTAGGAAGGACTTGACTCTTTCTTGAGACTTTTCGGAGCTATTTCAGGAACAGGTACAAACAAAATGATTATAAAATCTGAAAATGCATAGGAAATATATACCCTTGCCCTGAAGCCAAGAGGACCTACGAGAAATGGTGAATCACACCCAAAAGAACTAGAAATGGGGATCATGTGAGACCTCTGTCTGGAGCTTCAAGGGCAGGACTCACTTGTAAGCTCCTGTCTGTGTCTAAAATGGTCTGGGTGAATGGAGCAAGTAGACACTACACCACTTAATTTCTAAATGTCCCTGTAACCTGACTTAAGAGACAGAGTGGTTTATTACAGGCACAGGCAGGGATTAATAATTTAGCATCATCTTCTAATTAAGAAACAAAAGCTTGTGGCAGAACTTTGATCACTGAAACTACAAAACATTAAGTTTATAACACCTGTATAACTCACTGAATGTAAAGTTGAGCCAGTGCCTATATAGAGCGTTCACTCCTGTGTTTCAGCATCTTTGGTGAGGAAGGTACTCTCTATGCTACCCGAAGAAAAATGTAAACACCATCTCAGCCACAAACACTTTGATCTACAAGGTTGTCCTGCCTGCAAGACACATGAGGGCAATGGTGGCACAGAGCCTTTCTTCCTCTTGGAAATGAAGGAATGGACTTCAAGTTTATAAGACAAAGAGCAGAAAGCATAGCAAAAGTAGTCTCAGAGCATGTGGTCTGAGCTTTCTAGAACAGGCCAAGTCAACTTCTGTCAAGTATGAGGCTCAAAAGCATATGCTGAAGGTAAGGATGCCTGACAGATATCACAGGGCAGCTTGCTACTGGGCTAACCTCAGATAGCCAAAGAAAAGGATGTCTAACATAAAAACATTTAGAAATTTTGAGGCTGAGCATACAGAAACATTTAACTATTTAGGGATCTGGATCCACTTCGGGGAAATATGGAGAAGGAACATTGCATCTATTTTATCAGTAGAGAAGCTAAGTTTAAGTCAAAGTTATCTCCTGGTTTAGGTCAAATCATGAGGCTAGTGTCAGCAGGGGTTGGCTCTGCTGTGTCCCATAAGCCGTGTGTGATTCTCTTGTTGCTTTACCCTGCTCAATAGGCAGAAAGGGACAGCCGGTTCTCCAACAGGTTAGACGTGTCTGCTCTGTGAAACAGACTGGAATATTGTTTTCTTGCCTACATGGTAGTATAAGGGGTAGTATGCACTCTTTGAAGGGCACAGGAGGAGCATGATAATTCTATGCCATGATATCCAACAAGGATACCAGAGTTCTTAGCCTCCATAGCTAGCACCCAGTGATAGGCAGGAGCCAGTGTGTGGCAGACATACGGCTTAAAGATCAGACCGAAAAGACCCCTATGCCATTTCTTTATGGTACTTGTGATGCCTAATCTTCACTGGAGGTTTGACTAGATTTAGAATGACCTAGGAGGCACACAGCATTTCTAGGTATGTCCATGAGGTGAGAGTGTTTCCAGAGAGGATGAACTCAGGGGAGTAAGACCCATCCTAAGTGGAGATGGGGACAGAGTAAAAGTAGGGAGGAGAGAGCTTGCCCAGTCTCTGCTTCCTGGCCCCAGCATGGTATTAATGGCTCTATTCCATCATACTTTCTCATCACAATGGACTGAAGTGTCTGAAACCATGAGGGAGATTAGCAACACCCCTCCCCCACACTGTCTTGTGCCAAAACATAACTAAGACAGTACTAAATCAAGTCAGCCAGCTTAGAGTTAAATGGCTAAAGACACAAGGCTGAATCTACCTAATCACTAAAATGACAGTTTTAGCCAGAAAGAGTTCACTAACAGGGCTTCCTACAGTTTGGATTATATGGAGCGCTGTGTCGGTGAGTCAGAAGAGTTGAAGGCCATACTGCCTTTTCCCCTGCTTCTCTCCTTCAACCGACACCGTGTTAGAGAGACATGGACGACTGGAGCCATAATTAAATTGATTCCCCTTTGGAGTTGGAGAGATTTCTCAGTGGTTAGAGATCCACACACTGTTCTTGCAGAGTGCTAGAGTTCAGTTCCCATCCATGCTGGGTGGCTCACAACTGCCTGTAAGTCCAGTTCCAGCGAGGCCTCTGGCCTCCATGGATGCCTGCATACACATGTGCATACCCCACACACATATATACACTCACAACTAAAAAAAAAACCTTTAAAATAAAAGGTATAAACTCTGCTTTGTCTTTGAGGTTCCCACACATTTCAGAGACAAGGAAGATATCCCCCCATTCTTTGAAGAAGTGTCTCCAGGAACGAGAACGTCTAGAGCAAAGGCCCTTCCTTGTATTATACATTCAACGGGGCTCATCAATGTACCCGTATGCTGGAAGAACGTAAACACATACATGCTCTGATGTGAAGGCGATGAGCCTGGGCACTGCAGCCATTCCTTTCTCCTTGACTTCTGGAAACATCTTGTATCGGGCAATAAGCATGGCATACATGTTGGAGATGGCGCCACCTAAAAGTGCACAGAAACTGTTACTTTTTCCACTCTCCATCAACACTTCTCATGCAAGCAGCATCTTTATTTCTACAGACCTGGAACAGTTTCTCTAACTGAGTGGGTCACAGTCCAGTATGGCATCATATAACTGCATATGGTGGGGAGGCAGGGTCAAAAACAGTGGCCATCAGTAAAAAGTTTCAGAATATACAGCAACCACAGATTATTTCAAAATCAAACATACATACAGTGAGCCTGAGATGTTCCTGGCAGTGCTAGTTTGTGACATTGCCCAGTGTCACTGTAACTTTGGTTCTCAGTACACATAGTGTCCACTTGGCCTTTTGGGTGTGCTTCAAGATGCCAATGAACACCGATGGGAATGCCTTGGCTCAGATACCAGGTTATGTGTGTTATGAATAACAGTGTCTTTGCTGTTCATACAGAAGTTTTTGCTCTTCCAGAAATTTAATAGCTTAGTCATAGAAAACAAACTTAATATTTCTCTATCGTTGTTCCTTGGCTGGTACATGTCAGCATATCTGGATTGTATTGTGTTAGAATGTTTGATTTTTTTGTTTAGTTTTGTTTTTCAAGACAGTTTTTCTCTGTGGCTTTGGAGACTGTCCTGGAACTAGCTCTTGTAGACCAAGCTGGCCTTGAACTCACAGAGATTTGCCTGTCTCTGCCTCCTGAGTGCTGGGATTAAAGACGTGCACTACCACCACTTGGCAGAATGTTTGATTTTTAAAGTTGCTGTTTGAGGTGGTGATATGAGTTTCATAAATAATTATGATGAGTGAATATTGGTTTGGGACTAGGACAGAACTTTCAACAACTTTTAAAATGTCTCTAAATATGCTTCTGCCATTTGATATTGTGTATTGATGCAATGTGGCATTGGCTAGTATAAAATTGAAGTAAGGAGTAACTCTAAAAATGGTGATGTCTTCACATAGTCCACTATCAACTATATTGCCAAGACTTAATTATTTCCGTAAACCTAAACATATATATCCCATTATTATGCAACTTTGTTTGTCCTTAATAAGCGGTAAAATGTTATCCATAACAAAGAATCACTTTAAAGTGATTTGTTATGATTTACTATCAGTTAATGTTTTATTTGTATGTCTAGAAACCCAGGTAAATTAAAAACTTCCCAGGTAAAAAAGGGATAATGAGTAGGAAAAGTTGAAGAAACCTTGACCCGTAACTTTCAGGAAAAACCCTGATAGCTTGCCTTTGAACTGCACCCTCAGATTCAGTAAAGCACATTGGGCCTAACTATAGGAAGAAATGCATCTTTCAACACTAAGAATGATGGTGCATGCATTCAAGGCCAACCTGGTATTGTAGTGAGTTCCAGAACAACCAGGACTATGAAGAGACCCTGTCAGAAAAGAGGGTGGGGGGGGGGTGGGAGAAAAGCACCTCAAGGGGGAATTTTAGTTTATTTAGCTCTTGCTGGGAAGCTCTTTACAAAGTCTTATCATGTAGCTCATGCTGGCTTTGAATTCACGATCCTCCTGTCTTAGCCTCCCAAATGCTGGGATTTATGTATGTGCCACTATGTTCATCCATCTTCAAGAGACTTTTGAAAAGAGATTTTTTTTCTTTCTTTTCTCTCTAGTTTATAAGCATAACCAGTCGACATTGGGCCTGTAATATCCTGGTGCTATCATGGTTGCAAATAGCTATTTCTTTTCATTTCCAGCAATGCCTTATACTTGAATTGAGACAAACAAACCACCATTAATGTTAATGCTGCAGGCTGCTAATGGGTTCCTACAGAATGTGGGATAAACATCCATGCTCATCTCATCACCCTCTGTTCATTCCTCTAAACAGGTCTTTTCTTTCAAAGTTATCCTGAGATACAATTGCATTCATTAATGAAATGCTGTTTGTTGATGCCAGCTCCATATGGAATTACATTTCCTGTATCTTCCCAAGACTGTCAAGGGTTTCATACGATGAAGTTTTACTCTACCCCACAAGGAGCATCTCACATGACAAGCAATGGAACTCTCTGCAGGACTGTTGAAAAGCTTAGGAATTTTGCTATCCAGGAAATATAAATGCACATGTCTATGCTGGCATAGAAAACATGAGACCAGCAGGAGAGTGGAAGTGTCATTTCTCTGCCTCACTCCAAGGAAGAAACTTTTGGGACTATTTCATGGATGGTTTGATTATCCTTTTCTTCTAGCGGCTGAGGAGCAGGAAGGCTCTGCCCAGTTGAAGGGCTCATGCAAGTCTATAATCTTTGCCTTATGAGCCCTTGGCTCTGATACAGACAGGTCACTTGGTACAAAGCAGCCACCAACCAGACCCTGGCATCTCTATGGTCTAAATGCAGGCAGTTACTATCTTGTTGAATCCTTGAGATGCAAGACAGCAGGAAACAGGTCAAGTATGCTTAGGTCAGATGTCCAGTTGAAAGACAGATGCTGTGTGATGCTGGACTCAAATCAAAGTTTTTGAGGACATTTCATTCTAGCTTAGGGTTTCTCAGTCTTAGCCCTGACTGACATTTTGAGCTATAGAATTCCTTAAAGGCGGGTTGGATTAGGCGATGTAGAGTCTTTAGTCCTATCCATGGCTTCCACTTGCAAGCAGCATTTTCTTTCAAAACCATGACAACTCAAAATATCCACAGACATTCCCAGTGGTTCTTTTGGAAGGGCAACATTGGCTCCCTAGTTGAGAACTGCAGCTCTTGTTATATTTCCCAGTCTGAGAATGGAAGGAGAGGAGAAAGAAAGGGGAACGTATACAAAGAAAGTGCTCTTCAAGTGTAGGCTAGAAGCTTCCGGCCTGACCTCCTGCTCCTCATTTTGCAGCTCAGTCATTCTCCAGCTAAAGGCTTTGCAACCCTGAGGAGGATGAAGAGACTGTGTAATATCACATAAGGAAGATGATGGATGCCTGAATCCTACAACCTCTAATGACTATGGAATTTCTAGGAAGCACCAATTTCTCTGGGCACTAGTGGTGGAGATGAAAAATAGTCAAAACAAGCTGAGAATTTTGTTCAAGTCAAAGACCCAACTCTTGAGATTTAGTCCCAGAATCACAGGTACAACGATGCTGCACTTTTTCCTACTCCCATCCCTTGAATCATTCAACTTTTTAGCCAGAAGCAAGGCTAGATGCTATCTAGTAAAACATATACAAGCAAATAAGGATGCTATGGTCCATCTCTCTTCTTGTAGTAAGATGAGGAAAAACAGGTCCCTATTGCTTTCTGTTATTTTCCCCTGTGACTTTGGAATATTTATACTACAATGTAATACTACATCTATGGCTTTCACACTAAGGTGAGAACATAGGTGTCTTCAGGCTCAAAGGAAGAAACTCCATCATCTCTACCAGATAATTTACCACCATCCATCATATAGAACCTAGCAGAATCATCATTGAGCATTCTTTTGTGGGTGGGGATATATGTTTTCTGAGACATGCAGGTTCCAAGACAAGCTAGATAATCATGTATGTCCCATATTTAGACTAGTCAAAATTTCATAGTCAACAGATTCCTACTTCTATGAGTCATTAAAATAAAAACCAGGTTGTTCTTGGTGTATCTCAGGGACAGCTCAGCTCCACAATCACCTTTATAAGAGAATGAGTAAAATAGAAATGATAGACATCATAACCCTTGTAACCCTACCTAGTTCTCCATGAAAATATGTCTTACATAGAAATTTCAGACCATAAAGGCCAAGCCACAAATTTAGCATCAAAGGAAACTAAGTACTAAATTGTCTAGAAAATGAAGGAATCCATCACGACTAGTGTTCAATGACTATTTTTTAAGGATAATTTTCTGTTCCATTTAACTAACACTTTCCCCTTTAGCATCTGTGAAAATATGCTATGTAGTTAAAATCATAAAATAACAGTTGACAGATGGTTAGACAAACATACATAAGTCTTGTCCTTGAGGTCACTGTGGCTTGGTCCTTGTTTCATCTTCCCACATCTTCTTTCTTCTCTCACTCTCACCTGCCTTTTGCTGGTTGGCTAAGAGGGATCAGAATCCAACCATGCTATGCCTGACAAGTGCAGATGTGGCTCTGGCCTCTCCTTTTTAGCTCAGCTATCAGAACATACTGAAGACTGGCTTCCTCTTTCTGATTAGGTTCCACTCTGACCCTGGGTTTCTTCTGCATGGGTCAGTGACTTTCTCCATCGCCCTCCTAACTTCTCTTTCATCTATGAATCAAGTAAAGGTCACAGTCATGAGCTAAGGGCACAGTATTTTGTTTCAGGTTGATTCTGTGGACTGGGAGAGGTGTACATAATGGAGCCTAGGATGCGGTGGCTGGTATAAAAGGCAAAATGGAAAAGATTGGGTGCCATGACAATGAGAAGGAATGAAAAATATCTCAAAGGGATCACCATCTCTTTTAACTCTAAGGAATTGTCTCCTTATGCACTGTTTGCCCTCCTTGAAATTAGTCTAAATCCACTTCCCTGCTCGCTATTTCAGAGACTAGACAAGGGAATGTGCTCTACTGAGGAGATATTCTTCGGTTCATACCATCACAAACTTAATGCCGTATTAAATGACTTTCCTATCTCACGAATTCCGGGAAATGCAGCAAGGCTAAATATCCTTATTAGCAATAGTCATTCTTTTATCCAGCACTATCCATACATCCTATATATAGGGCTATTGTCGAAGTAGGGGATGAATATCATGTCTTATTATACTCTGTTAAGCACAAATGACTTTTAAACATTAGTAAGATTGAAGGTGTGTTCAGTGGATTCAGCCACATTCATTAATTTTGATAAGCACACAGCCTAGGTACCCTAATCATAAACACAAAATGAATGCTTGATCTTCTTAAGTTTATAACATGGCATATCAGAAGAACAAAACAGAGAAAATTGAAATATATATATATACCAGGAGAAAATATTCCATCTCCAGAGCCCCCTGGCCAGCCAATGATCTCTCTCATTTTCTTTAGTGTGACATATTCTAACAGCACAAATACTGGAGCAATCTCATAGGTGAACCTGAAATGTATAAATGACCATATTTTATGTAGCTCAAATAAGTTATTCATCATTACAATATCACAGAATTTCTCCATTTTTAAAACTTACATTCATAGATGTAATGATTATAGCATTAGATATAAAATTATTTATAAAAGGTTTTCATTTTTCAGTTGCCTTCAAGTCAAGATCTTGAGTTATTGGCACAATAAGCAAGGGTAGTTTACCATATTGAATACAGAACGTGACATCGTGGGACTATGTAAAAATGCAACATTGGGCTCTATTCTTTTTCATATAACATATAATTTTAAATGAAAATGTTATAAAATCTCTCTGTATTTTAATATTTTGCAGTTTGATAAAATCAAAGACGTATAAAGGCATTTAAAAAATGAAGCCAGACTGAGAAGACAATATGCAGAGATTTACACAAAAGAGGTGTTTTATAATCAGCTACTTACATGTTAGTGTTCGCTGTTGATGTCAGCCAGTCTGCTGCTAACCCAACCATATCCAATCCAGTAGACAGCTGATTAAAATATCGGGGATGCCCTGAATGAAATGGAATTAGGATTGCACCCAGTGAAAATAAAGGTCTCCCAAACACAAGATTTTTTTATATATAACTAAACTATCTTGAAAGACTTGTTAGTTACAAGAGATGCATATTCAGAAATCTAGTGTGCAAATGTGCCTGTGAGCACAAGACACATGATCACATGCACCCGTGTGCATACACACTCAAGCAATCCTTCCTCTCACCAGAGGCTACTTAGAGTTTAGTATTTCCCAAGACACACTCTAAAGATCATCTCTCAAATAGGCCCTTTAAAAATATGTACTTTGCAATGTGGGACTAGATCACTTCCTATTATACTTCCAATATAATTGCAAACTAAAATGTCGTGGTATCCCAAATCATTCCTCTCATTTGCATCGATATTGCTAACAGTCCTTTTGTTGAGCTGTTCCAAGAATCAGTCATACTGTGACATCCTTCAGGCATGCCAGCATTCATAATAATATCGGTGACAAATGACTGATGATTACAAAGACAGGGCAAAAATGAGAAACTAGGACACTCTGCCGAGTGCTTTGCCCTGGATTCAAAGGTGATGAGTGTCTAGAGATGGCCTAGACAAAGCTAATTCTTGACAGTTTTTCCATGTCTGAATTGTGATTATGATCAACAAAGCCCCCTCTTAGTTGAAATTTAGAGCACAGATCTGTGAAAAATATAATCAATGGCTAGATTGACCCATTAAAAGAATTATCTAATTGACCTCTAGATTTCTCTAAAATTCTGTAAATGGATTGACATTCACATACCCCCTGAGACTGCTTTTTTAAATGTGCTTATAAATATCTCATCAGAAGTCTAGTTCCCCATTCTGTCCCTTAGAAGCCTATCAATAAATGCATGTTTTGTTTAGCAATAGCAATTTAGGAACGAGTACAATTATGGAAGTAGCATCTGATTAAAAAAATAAACAACGTTATCTGTCACTTGCTGGACATCTGTCTGGTGCCTGTGATGTGAGTCTCACATCCCAAGTGTGGGCAAAACAAGATAAAGGACGGCACTAGAAAAAGCACATTGCTTATCTCAGGGACTAGAAGGCTCTCTTATCGGCCCTGGGCATGTGGCTAGAGAGTTCAACAATGGGGACAGATAGGCATTGAGAAGGAACACATTTTAGAGGGACTGGTATCTGTGCAACTCTAGCTAATTATTGGCATTACCTCTTTATGGCCTCAAATCATGCCTCCACCCCCCCTTTCCTCCTCTGTGGGCCCTTTGACTCTGAGCTCATCAGTCTGCTCATTCAGAAAAGGTATAAAGTCCCTCTGCTGCTGCAGGTGCTGTTGCAGGGCACCACCCCCTTCTCTCTGCCTCATTGACTCCCCATTTCATTGCAGCCTGAAGCTGACATCACAGCCTACTTCTCCCTCCAGAGGGCCCTCCGTTCTGCTGTCCCTAAATCATTTTCTGAGTGAGGAAATCAATTTGGATTTATAGCGTATATGCATTTTTAGATGAACCTACCTATTGCCACACAGGATTTAACTCTGTGGAAATTCTGGCACGGTAACCTCTGCATAAAGCTGAGAGGATGTCTAAGGCGTGTGCAGGAGCTCTGGACACTAGCACTTTAGTCCACTGTGCTTGGACAGATGCTCTGGGTAAACTAAACACAAGTTTGATGCCTCTGCTACTGGGTTTCCTCCACTTCATATAGGTTTTGACCTTGATCTGCAATTTTATCTGACTCTCTCCTGCATCACAGCTTTCATTCACTGATAATGATGTGAAACTACAGAGGGAGGTCGTTTGACAGGTGAGAACAGCATGTCCTTTGGGGATCTGGCAGAATTATCCCCCTAATTACATTTGTTCTGCTCCTGTGGCCCCTATAGGCCACCTCCAAAGGATCCCTGCTGCATCCATCCAGGGCTGTCTGAGAGTGTGAGAAGCTGCCTCTGAATCTGATGGAGTTCCAGCAGTGCTGGGCATCTTACTGCCCCTGACCCACATGCTATGAGTACTCTTAGAGGGCTACATTGCTCCAAGCACTGGAATGCTCCTGCACAGATTAGCAACTGAGTCCCAATGCATGTGCAAAAGCTAGGACCTAGCAAATGAGACCTGATGCTCACAGTCAATTGGAGAGGAGCCAACAGTTCTCTAAAACTGCTTTTTATGAACTGTCAACCTTCAGAGGGGTGGTTTGCTTCTCCTACATTGGCTTCCCTTCCCTTTGTCTAAGGGTTCGCTTAAGGATTGAAGACTACATTAACATTACCCTAATTCTCCCAGCCACCCCAGCTAAAGGGAACAATACCCGCAGAGGCTATTCTCGAATCCTACCATTCGCAGAAGTTTCTAGTTCTAACATATCTAGTTTTACAGGTAAGACACAGATACCTCATTCACAAATGTTCTTCACTGCCCTTCAACCCTTTGTAAAGTTGGAAGCCAAATGGAAATCAGGTTAAGGGCTGTTATCAGAGACTATGTGATATTTTATAAAATGATCTTCCAAGGATCATAAGAATACTGGATGGTGACAGGGAGGGTAACTGCTTTGATAGACTATGTAGTAGCAGTTGACAAACAAGACACTAACATCATAATAAGCCATAAGCTTGACAGTTGAAGACAAAAAGCTAACCTGCTGATGATTTTTTTGAAGTGCTGTTTGGGGATGTATGGACAGAAGACAAAATATGGCGTGAATAATATTGAGATATTCATCTTAACCCATACGATGTTTATCTTCACTTTAAATAAAATGCATCACAGTAACATTTGACTAACAGATTTACAAAAAAGATATAGCAAAAAAAAATCTAAGAATTTCATCAATCCATTTATTCCCCTTGGCAGTAATATAGCATTGATATACAGAACTATTACTTCTATTGGCTGGCGATTCTCATTATCTTAACACTGAATTGCATTGCAAAGACTACCGGTTTTTAAGAATGAAGATGTTTTAAAAAAAGTATGCATTCTTTTTTTATTTGTGAGCAATATAAACAATAGCTAGCAATTTTCCATTAGCATATTTAAATGTCCAATATGGGGGATGGGCCAAGCAGAAAAGAATTCAAAGCATTGCTCAAGTTTGCATGCACGGGTGCATGAGAAGTAGGCGGAGGCAGAGTATCATTCTGTGCCTGGCGTGCGCTTCCCGTTGGTTTTTCAGAAGGACTAACTGATGATAGCTAATAAACCTCCAAAAATTACAACCCACAGAAATCAACAAGTTAAACTCATTTCCCCTCACATCTGTTTCCAAGTCTACAGTCTTCCAAAGTGGACAATAATTATACAATAAATCAGGTTCCCAACACTTCTATGCAAACCTTTCTCCTCTGATAAAAATGTTCAGAGGGGGAAAAGGCTAAACTGTTTTTGTAGCAAATGTTCTTAAAACGTTTGTTATTTGTTGTGCTAATAAATCACCCACAAAATGGTGGCATAAAGTATGGCATATGCATGACTAATGCTTCCTTAATATTTCGTATTTATTAGTTACCAGTAAGTCTTTCTAATTCTACACATCGTTGTAGATCCTCCAGCCTCCCCTCCTCCACCTCAGAAAGGCATTTATATGTATCGCTTTTAATCTGTTTCACTGTGTATCAAAATGATTAGAGACAATGTAGCAAAATAGCAGGACACTCAGGACCTGGGTGGAAGCTTTGAGAGGCACCCAAATGGATTTTGCACCTGGAACTACAACATCATTTTATCCTGTTTTAAAGGGTGCAATGGGAGTCAGATATTCTTATCCACCTACACAATCGTTGCAACGGAGACAAATCCTTACATAACACCTCGGGATTGCTAAGCTAGTCTATATCATCATGGTGTGTGTGTGTGTGTGTGTGTGTGTGTGTGTGTGTGTGTGTGTGTGTGTGCGCGCGCGCGCGCGCGCACACGCGCACTTCTTTCAAAACGGGAGAAAAGCTGTAATTCAAATATAAAGTTTAGTTACTTGAAACAAGGCCACAATAATCTCCCTCCAGCCTGAAGACTGTATAAGTTGGTTAGTTGAGGCTCCTGATTAGTTCCGAGCCAAGGAAATTGCTAGCAGCACACTGGAGTTCGGGCTTACTGGATTTCATGTTTAGTCTTTATAACTCTCCTTTCGGTACTCCCTGTCTTTCTCCATTTTGGGCCACTTCTACTGGCCCCTGCTGACAAATGACCGCTTCTACAATCTCTGGTTAATCTCCGTGCCAATCTTCAGATTTATACCACAACGACGGCTCTGATATTATTAACAAGATGCTTTCAAATCATTCTAATGATGACTATAAACGAATGAAAATAACAAGACCCAACAGAACAGAAACGATTTTATGGAAAAAAGAAAATTGCAAAACAATAAAGCTTTATTATTGCTGGTTGCACAATACCTGTTTTAATTGCATATTTTAGAGTTGTTTGGCAATGCGTCAAAATTTCCTCCAAATTTTGTGGTTGGTCTGCTAATTCCCAATTATACTCTTGAAGTAACTCGTTGGGGTAGTGGAAATCAATCACTTTAGTTGATCTATCGAAACTTTTCACCACATACTGGAGCAAAATATTCATAACGTCTTGCAGAAATGCCAGTGTGGGCCTCTCCCCATCACAGGCTGGCAGCAGGTCTGAAGAATAGAATTGAAAGGACGCTTTAGATTTCACTATGCAAAGATCCAAAAGATCCAGGCAATTACAGATCAGGCCATTTCTCTTTGAATTGAATTTATTAGCACTGTAATTGCAGTGCTCTGGAGGCTGAGGCAAGGTGGGGGATCTCTGGGAGTTGGTTTAAGAGCTAGAAGACTCTGTTTCAAACAAAACCCACAGCATCTGGAAACACAAGCCGACAAAAACTTCTTTCCGGAATTAAATTTTGCATTTTTATTTGTAACATAATGTGTTGCTTTGTTTATTCTTTTTCAAAGAGAATGGCCCAACTTGTCTATTTCACAGGTGTTTGTCCTAAATGTTTTGAATACATCATTTTAATTGTCAGGACTCCATGCTTGGGAAATGCCTTCGGGCAAACCAGGAAAAGTGGATCATGCAAGTCCAGAGATGATCTCTGACTTCTGAAGGCCAGATGCTGCCAAAGTTGGCATGTGTGGGTGAGGGTGAGCACGCTCTCCTGCTGTTTGGGAGACTGATAGTCGTATAAGCTAGGGTAAAATTTAGCGGCCAGGGCTAAAGTAAATAGATTTATTTCTCGGTGAAATCACGGTTATAAATTACTGTGGATCCAATTGAACAGCTGAAAATCCCTATAATTTCGAATTATTTGGGAGGATATCTGAAAATCTGCCCTACCCAGAGTCTGGGGCAGAGCCGCCAAGAAGCCGACATCGGCCCAGTGCCGCGGCCTCTGCCACCCCCAATCTTCAAGGCTGTGCTGGCGCGGGGCGCTGTGGCCACTCACTCTGTTGGGGAACGTCAGGCCGGGTTCTTGGTGCGCTCTGTCCCGCAGACCCCGTGCCCTTCCAATTCCGTGGGAGATTCTCAGAGGGCCCGCCCCCAACATCCATTTGGCTCGACCCGGTCAGGCGTCGGCGGGGAGGAGCGAGGTCCCTGCCAGCCGGCGCCTTTACCTGTTGCGTGCAGAAACGCGTAGTTGATATCCGCTTTGGGGCAGCTGCAGGGTTTTTGGTCGCAGGTGCAGGCGACCTTCCGGGTGGTAGCCCGCGGGGCCACGCTCCCGCCGCTCTCGGCTGGCTTCTCAGAGTCTCCGTAGAGCAGAGCTGGACAAGGACAGGGAGCGTGAGGCCTGGGTCAACAGGCTACAGTTCGGACTCCCTCATCCCTGCCCATCCTCAGCCGAGGACCCGGCCAATGCTGGCTGCGGACTTGGCGACATTGCTCCTGCCAGCAGCTAGCCCCCCGACCTTGCCCGCCCTTCTTCCCAGAGCGCCGCCACTCACCGCACAGCTTGTTTCCGATGCCGCCGGTGAACTTTTGAGCTACCTGGCACCAAGCTCTCGCTGCAGTCGCCAGACAGGAGGGACCGCGAAACGGAAAGAGAACAGACGGGCGAATGAAATTTCGTTCCAAGTGAACGAGGGCTTTACGTCTGGAGTGTGGGAACCCGGCGCCAACCTTGTGAGCGGCCGCGGGAGACTATGCTTCCAGCAGGTGAGGAAGCCCGCAGAAACCTGACTCCAGGCCAGCCCTGACTTCACAGTGTCCCGGGAAGAAAATCACACCGAGGCCTATCGCACTTGTTCGTCAAGTGCACAGGTTTCCAGACTCCCATACCCCCTGTGGCACCAGAGCTGCTTTCCCTCGACCCCAAGCAGTCCATTTAGCCGCGCCTGCCTTCCAGACCCTAAAACTCTCTCCCTCTCCTATTTCGTCTTTCTTTGCCCCGCTCCTTCGCTGCCCAGGGTCTAGAGGTCCAGAAGCAAAGCCCTGGGGTCCATTGACTCCCGCAGATGCTGAGGTCTTTCAGCGCTCTATGCTTAGAGGAAGGAGCCCAGACACCCTGGGTCTCTTCCGAGGGGGACAAAAGGCTGCGGAGGTCTGGGGTTCCCACAGTTAAGGATTTAAGCCAGGGAGCAGGGCAAAGCGCCGGATAAGTTTCCTGTTGCAGATGCTAAAGCTTTGGTTATATGCGTAGTCCTGCAAACCCCAAGCCACCAAAGCTCTCCCTCTGCAGGTATCGTCCTACCTGTGCCCGGGTTCTCGGGATCCCCAGAGCCATCTTCAGATCCGAAGGACCAAAAGCCGGAGCCGGGAGAGGCCATGGGCTCTGTGAGACTGGCGCCGGATGACTCCGAGTGACTGCGGGAGAGCTGCCTTCGGCTCGACCCTGCACGCGCTTGCGTGCGTGTGAGTGAGTGAGTGAGTGAGTGTGTGTGTGTGTGTGTGTGTGTGTGTATGTGTGTGGCGGGAGGAGGGCAAAGCGCGGGGACTGGCGCGTCCGTGCGCGACGAGGGTGGGTGTCACACAGGGACAGGAAACGTGCTGTCTGCCTGTGCTGGTGCTCGTGCGTGTGTTCGAGTCTGGGCGTAGGGACGCGGCTGTGCTGTTCGCCGAGGTTAACTGGGGAAGTCGCCAGGACCCTCGCTGTCTGGAGATTGGAAAGTGGAAAGGGCCCGAGAGATTTTGAGGGAGAGGGAGCTCGGTGGGGAGATGAGAGAGTGACGGAGGGGAAATGGAGGAACTGGAGGTGCGAGGCTGTGCGATCTGGTGCGAGGCAGATGCGGGGGAGGGAGGCGTGTTGGCGCAGCGCTCACCCAGCCACAGGCACTCCCGGCCCGCTACTGCCCGGACGCGCTGTCCAGGGTGCTACCGCAGCCAGCCGCAGGCTGCCCTTGGTGACCCGGAGACCTAGAGACCTTGGCGAGACTGGAAGGGTGACCGAGACCGATTTTTACTAGCGCATCGATCGGCTCATTGTTTGAGGGCCGGCTCTGGCTCCGGCCGTTCTCGCGCGGGCCTTTCTCCAAATCCGCGCCGAGGTCGCTGTGACCTCAAGAGCCCAGGCCACCTGGCCATAATCAGGCACAGCTTCAGAGCATGGGGAGCCAAGAGGGGAGGGAGGTGGGCCGCCTACCTGATGGACTCATTTCATTTTCGTGGCAGAGCCTAAAGTCTGCCTGCTGAGCTGAGCCAGCTTGGGGGGCTGGGGGCACGGTTCCTGCGCAGTCATGCCCTGGGTACCCGGACCCACCGTCCAGATTTTGACTGACTGCTGAAGAGAAAGACTGCTGATTGAAGCAATTAAAATCCACGCTGGAGTCTAACACTGAGGACCTCGGGCATAAATTAAATAAATAAAATGAACAGAAACTTCTTGAAAAGGAGTAGGGAAGAGCTGACACAGTCCACAGACTGATGGTTGATGGGGGAGGGGATCTGGCTACTAGGTGACCTTGGCCCATAGAGGGGTGAAACAGCCTTCTGCTGATTCGTGACTCCAGGACTCCGACGTAGGAGGCGTGCAGGGGGTTTCCAAGTAAGCAAACCAGACTTTCCAAATCCTAAAAGAAAAGGCATCCCCTCTTTTCAGGGAACTCGAACCAATGACCTCCGCCTCCCAAAAGGAATCCTTAAGGTCAGGAGTGCCTAGGAACATAAATTTGACAACTTTCCAGGCCCAGGGAGCAGTAGTTCTGCTTTTTCTACAAGAGGAATAAAACAATCCTTTCTGTTTTCTTTTTCCTAATGGTTCTTAAACAGGGGCAGCATCTTGAGGATTGGGACCCCCCCCCCCCGACCTTCTCTGTTGCCTAGGCTCTCACTATGGCTCCTCAGTCTTACAGAAAGCTCGGAGAAACATAGGCAGGAAAGCACTGGTTTCAGCTGTCCCCAATCGCCTTGTCTGGGCGCCCCGAGCTAGTGTCAGCTCTTTTTACAGCCTTCGAAGCCTTCTTTCCGACTCTGAGTTTTTAAACGACTCACCAAAGCTGTTGCCAGAGCAGGGACCCTAGAGCCTTCAGTCTTAGAGACCCAGACGACTTATTTTGTTAGAGATCTCGGGTAGCAGTGCAGATGCCCGAGTCTTGGCTCTCTTCTTCCCATGTGCCGGGAGCCAGGAGCCCATGGAGAAGCTAGCTAATGAATGCCCTTTGAGGCTGCAGGATCCAAGAAGCAGGAGCATGGTCAGAGAAGGCCATCTTGACCCTAGGCCTCAGTTTGGTCAGTCTTTAGGGCACTCCCAGCCTGCTCCCTTCATCTGTCAGAGGCAACAGCTCCTGAAATGCAGGGACCTTTGCTCCGATGTCTGCTGGGCCCTTGCTCCATCAAGCCTTGCCGATATGACTCTGAAAGCCTGGTTCTTTGTTTAACTCCATACCAAATCCTGCAAATAATTTGCTTCAAGCCAGCTGGCTGGGATTGAAGCTTTTTTTACTATGGATGAGTGGTCTGAAATAAAAAGGTTCATAAACACACACACACACACACACACACACACACACACACACACACACACACACCACAGAGGAAGGCACCCACCTTCCCAGGGCAAAAAACAGATGAAAACAAGAGGAAGAATCTCAACATTTGAACGTAAACCCTTCAAAAATAGTGACTTAAAACGGAACCGTTTAAATGCAATTAAAGCTCACAGCCCTGAGTATTTTAAAATCAAATGGTGGTGCTTACATTAAAAAAATTTTTTTTCTTTTGCTACTCCCTACTTAAGATGCAGGTGGGATTGGGTTTGTCCACCCCTTCCTAGACAGCAATTTGCTTTGTAAATTTTTTCATTTCCCCAAAGAGCCCATCTCCCCCTCTCCCCTTTTGCTCTGGTTGGCGATAACAAAAGAGCACAGGGAGGTAATAATTACAGCCATTAGTTGACAAAGGAGGCAGCGGCGGCAGACTGGGACGGGAAGGCTGCTACCGGGAGGAAGGCTTTCCAAGGCTTCCTCTCTACTGTGGGAGACCCACACCAAATCTCCAGCAAGGACCACAGGAAAGTGTCCCGGGACGACCCATTTCTTGTCCACGGTGCACCCAGAAATCCCATGACAGGCGGGACCAAAGAAGGGTATTTGGTACAAGTTTTCCAGGGTCCTTTTGGTGCTTAAATGTTGACGAACCTAAAAAGTACAGATGGAAAGAAATAGGGATGAAAACAACCACGACATTGCAGTCTTCCATCAAGATCTGGCTATTTCCCTTTTCCAGTCTAAACCTGGAGTTCAGTGTCCTGGGGTAGAGCTGTTTGTCGTCCCTCTACCCAGAAAGTAATATGCCTTAGCAGATACTCTTGGGAAAACTCAGGTATTGATGGGCAAGGAGAAGCTAGGATTGAAGGATGGGTCTGGCACCGAAGCAGGGTTCCTCCCTATAGCCAGCACCTGCTCCGGGTGGGGCGCTGGAGCCACAGGAAGCCTAGCCAGCACAGGGCACCCTACTCCTGTCTCCCCCATATCAGCCCGTAAGCTCTGCGGTTCCGGTTTCTTGTGCCAGGTACAAGTCCAGATGATCGCTCCATGGGTCATCATGTTAGGGTGGCTCCTCTGTTTAGTCTGTTTGTCGGACCCCAAACCAGAGTGGAGCTAACTAGGGAAGGAGGGGAGTGGAGAGAGCAATTGGATTTCCGGCTTGGCCCCTTCACGGTAGGAGGTCTCTCCTCAGCTGGACCCTCCTAACCCAAGTCTGGGGAGCTTTAGAGGCTAACTCTGCTGGGACCATGACAACGCGGGACACAAATGTTATCAGCGCCACCACTCAGTCCTCCCTGGAACTCTGCCAGCACCTTCTTTATCCACTCAGGGTGGAGTGGACCTGGAAGGTGTCTTTCATGGAAGGGTTAACGTGGAGCTTTTTTGTTAGTTTTTTTTTTTTGATAAGCTAATGATGAGGAAACTCCCGCCTCCCATCCACTGCCCTTTTGCTCACTTGTTTGTGGTCAGCTCCCAATGAGGGGAGGCTACTTCAAGTCCCTTAGAGTAAGAGACTTTATGATTTGGCAGTCTCCAGCGTGAGACCAGTGCCAGTGTGGGTTGGCCACCACACCAGGAAGTCTGTGCTAGTGAGCATGGGTCTGGAGGTCCGACCAGGATTCTAGGTAAATTTCGAGGTACTCTATGCTTGAGAGTTGGTGGGGCTGGGAATTTGCTGCTGAAGACAGAAGTCATCTCAGTTCCTGGCACCAGCCCAGCTGTATACCAGAGACAGAGGCCCCCAAGGCGCAAGGCAGACAAGCACTTGTAAAACACAGTTGCCAGGATGGTTACTTTATTTAGCAGTATTAACAATCAAGAGAGGAGAAAACCCAAGTTTGAGATGAGTTCACCTTCAGAGTTCTTTCCACCGCCACCTTGCCTTTGTTCTGGCATAGAAGAGTGGCTGTCCTTTGGTCAAGAAGAAATCTCTTAATTCATTTAAAAATCAGCAAAGGGGTGGTGACAGCTCAGGCACAGTGGGTACCCTGACTCACAAGCAGCAGAGTAACTGGTACATTAGGGCAATGGGGGCAATGGGCATGTGGGAGAAGTCTGGGGGTCCAGTATCTGGAACTCCCCAAAGGGCTTCAGATTCTTTGGGCCTCAAGGAGGCCCTAGTATGTGAGAGAGAACAGAGTTAGCAGGCCACCAGAGGCTTCAGGGTTCTGAGGGTTCACATTTGAGAGGGTGCAACACTGCAGCTTTGGTCCTGGTGTATCTCTGGGTCCAGCACCCTCTGAAGCTCCACGGGTGTGCTTAAAGCTGCTGCAGCAGGCGCTGGCGCTGGGAGGTCTTTCTCAGGAGCCTTCTGTAGTCATAGGGGTTGGCTGAGATCTCCTCGCTCCCCTGGGCAGTCCAGCACCTGCAAGTCAGTCAGGGTTCTCAGTCAATGGCAACTGCTCAAAGCAGCCAGTGGTTTCCTCCTACCCTCCCAGGGCTTGAGCTGTCCACCAACCACAGACATTTAAGACACAATCAAAATGCCAGGCTAAATGACCCAATGTAGCTAGCTGTGAAAACATTCTGAAGTTTTGCAGAGTTGAAATTAGTGGTAGAGATCACAAAGGCTGGCTTTGGAACAATAATTCATGGCGAATACTAAAACACTTATTTTAGTGTCTTGTTTAGCTTTTTTTTTAAATACTTTCATCAAACAGGAAGATTCAAGGTATATAGATACATGTCCAACTTCTGGACTTTTGTTTGTTTTTATTTTTTCGAGATAGAGTTTCTCTGTGTAGTCCTGGCTGTTCTAGAACTCATTCTACAGTCCAGGCTGGCATCGAACTCAGAGATTCACCTGCCTCTGTCTCCTAAGTGATGCGATTAAAGGCATACACCACCACCGCCCAGCTCACCTTCTGAACTTTTAAATAGGTCAAATGTTTCTCTTAAGTATTGCCTTCATATGACTAATCACTCTAAAAAGGACACTGGTATTCCTTGCTCTGTTGGCTTTTCAAGTCTTCATTTTTTTTCCTGAGACAGGGTTCCTCTACTTAGACTAGGTGATTCTGTGCCTAGCACTGTAGAACAGGCTGGCCTTGAACTCAGAGATCTGTCTGCCTCTCCCACCCGAGTGCTGGGATTAAATATGTACTCCAGCCACCTTTTCCAGGTTGGCTTCAATGCTTTTAATGAAGCTGCTTCCCTGGACTCACTGTAGGAACTTCAGTCAGTGTGCACTTTTAGCTTCTTTCTTTTTCAGAATAGGAAAAAATATAAATAGCTCATTTGGTATTACAAGAGACCCTAAATAGCAAAAGCAACTTTGAACAAAAAGAACAAAGCTGGAGACATCATATTATTTGGTTGAAAAACCTACAAAAAAGGGATAGCAAACAAAATAGCATGAAAACTTTCATAAAAACAGACACACAGACTAAGGAAATGGAACAGAGGGCTCACAAATAAACAGATTCATTCATAGTTCATTGCATTTGACGAAGATGCCAAGAGCTTATAGTAGGGAAAGGACAATATCTTCAATATACGATGTTGGGAAAACTGGATATTCACCCACAAAAGAATGGTACCAGAGGTTTACTTCACAGCATATATGGAAGTCCACTCAAGAAGATTAAAGACTTAAACTACTACCCAAGACAGCAAATCTGCTAGAAGAAAATATGGAGGAAAATAACTACAACACTGGTTGGACAAAGGATTTTTGAATATCACTACCAAATCACAAGTGACAAGAGTAAACACATGCACAGACAGATCAGACTTTACCAAAAAGCAGGCAAATAGGATAAAAATACAGCAAATAAAAGAATCAAAATAGTGAAGAGGCAGCTCACTAATGGGTAAGAAATATTTGCAAATGATAAAATGGCTAAAGGGGACAACGTCCAAAACCTACAAGGAACTCAAACAATTCAATAAAAACAGGCGAAATGTTTTTAAAAAATGGGCAAAGAACCTGAAGAGATGCCTCTCAAAAGAATGCATGAAAATAACCAAAAAGTACATGCAAAAAATGTTCAATGCAAGACTGAGTGACTATCACATTTTAGGAACAAAGGATGTCAGCACCAATACAGTTCCACTCTGACTAGAAATAAGAAAGAATCAAGTTCCTAAGTGTCTGATAAGAAGATTGGTTTGCTTAAAATGACATAGTCATTAAACAGGGTTAGGAAATCTCCATGTTCAGCAGCCTTAATAGATTGCTAAATTTTTAAACGAGTGAACATTTGAGATCAATTTTAAAAGAGTGGACATTTGAGATCATTTTGTTAGGTTAAAAAGATGACTCAGTGGGTAAAGATGTTGTGTAAGCCTGATATCCTGAGTTCAGATCTCTGAAACTTGTAAAAATCCAGTTGCAGTGGTGGGTATCTGCAATCCCTGCACTCCTACAGTACCACAGGAGGTAGAGCTGGGAGAATTGCTCTGAAGCCTGGAGTATGGAGTGCAGCAGTAAGATCAAGAGGCCCTGTCTAAAAGCACAGGCAAAGGTAGAATACAAAAACCAACTTGCAAATGTTATCTTTTGGCTTAGAGATGAGTGCTGTGGCAATATGTACTAGAACTCAAATACATATGATGCACACACACACACACACACACAATTGAAAAATCACACACTAAGGGAAGTAACTAGAACAAACAAGTCACATGGATATTTCCATTTATAGGAAATGTTATGAATAACTACAGAAAGCAAATTGATTAGTGGTTGCCAGGGAACAGGGGTGGAAGGGTGGTGATATTGGTTTCCTTGGGGAGACATGAACACATTCTGAAGTTAGTGGTGGGCATGTAATAATGTGAATATACTGAACCCACTGAATTGGATATCCTAAAATGGTCAGGTGAATTCTGTTGTGTAAATTTTATCTTAAAAATTAAAAAAGATCAACTTTATTAATCACCAAGGAAATATGATTTAAAATCACAATAAAACATAACCTCACACTATGTAGGATGCCTATTATCCAAATGTAAATGCTGATGAGTGTTGGTGAGGATCCCCTTGAACAGTGTGGGGAGAATGTAAATTGGTGCAACACCCATAGAGGACAGTGAGTAAATTCTTCAGAAACAGAAAGGCGTCAGTATTTAACAACTGTTATTAACGAGATCTGTAAGTCTCACTACCAGGTACATCACCGAAGGAAATGAAGTGAATATTGTGAGAGATATCTATAGTCAAACGCTCACTGAAGCATTATTCATAACACTCAAGATGGGCAATCAAGTCATGTTTCCATCAATGGATGAATGAATAAACAGACATGTGGTTGTTACACACTATGGGATATTATTCAGCCTTAAGAGGAAGTTACATGTCCAGTTGTGGCTATGTGGATAAACCTGGAAGACATTAGGTTAAGTCAAATGTCTGTGGGCTTCTGCAGGACCCCACTCATGTGTGCAGCCTAAAAATGTCAAACTCATAGCAGGGTGCTCATCAGGGCTTGGAGATGGGGCTGATTAAAGAACATAAAATATCAGTTGGTAGGAATAAATTTAAGAGATCTATTTTGTGATGATAATTCACAGAAATATATTGATTACTTGAAATTTACTTTAAAGTAGATTTTTTAAGGCTATGCAAATTTTAATCAGTTTAAACTAGCTATTCCACAATACATGTGTATTTCAAAATTATTCTTTTCTTTACCACAAATGTACACAATATTAATTTATCAATTTAGTTTTTAATATTTATTTTAAATTTACCAATTTTAATTTGTCAATTTAAAACAAATCCATGAAGCATTATGTTTGTTATTGCTGGTGCGCCATTCCCCAGGCCTACTCAAACCTTACTGGGCAATGTCATCAATAGTTGGTATCTACCTATTTGTAGCTATGGGTGTACTCATGTGTGCATAAAGACATTCTTTCTGAATTAATATAATTGGACATATAATTTAGTCTCAAATTTGGCGATTGTTCCAAAATGTAATTTAGAGCTATTCTTTTGTATTTGTTTTCTGTTTTAATTCAGGATCTCACCCAGGTTTAATCACATTGTTACTGTGAATTACCTCCACAGTCTTTTTATCTTAGAAAAAGTCCACCCATCTTGGATTACCTTGGTCAGAATTGCTATGTGAATATTATTTTCCTCTACCCTCAAGACCATATGATATAAAGACAACACCTTTGTTACCCTGATGTTCACCATTTCATTAAGTCCCCAGAATGATCCTTTGCATAAAGTAAAAATATTGAACAGTGGTTACAGTCATTGAATTTAAGGTTATAAAATCATGTGTTCTAATTTTCTGGCCCTATCAATTATTATGTGAGTGACTTACAGTCACTTACCTCTGGAGACCTAACCTCCATACTCTTAAATGGGAAAGTAATAGTTACTGTCTTACCAGTTCAAAGAGGTACCAGCATAGTGCCTAGAACAAAGTAAGCACTCAGACAATGCTGTCTCTTGGCATCCATATTCTAGTGGACACTAAATACACATCCGTGGATGTTGCTGGGAAACAGGCAGTGTTTCTGAGATATAATGACCTCAGTGTAGGCATGGATCTGTCAGGTGGTGGGAGAGAAAGAATATACTAGAGATGAAGCAGAGTCCGCTGTCACGATAGGAAGGAGGGAAATCAGTGAAAAACAGCTGAGCAGAGTGTGAAAAACCCTGGGTTGGAGAACCTTCACTCAGTCTGTGATCATAGGCGAATCATTTAATCTCTCTGGCACTTGATTCTGCTAGAACCCCACCAAGTATGAACAGGTTATAGTTTTTGGTTCAAAGATGGAAGAATGCATTTTTTTGAGACAAGGGTTTAGAGATCACAGTGCAGGTAGAGTTAGAAAGAGCAAATGAAGTTGGATAATAATAGCCATCAGTATTTACAGAAATCCTCTTCCATGAACTATGAACATATTGTGCTAAGCAGATTGTCATTTCACTTAAGCTCTCTAACACGATAGTGAGGCAGGAATTTTGAAGATTCCTCTATGCGTTTGAAAACTGGCTTAAAGAGCTCAGGAAACACAAACAAAATTTCTTAACTGGCTCAATCAGTCCAAACTTAGACACTTGAACTCCAAGATTTTTTCTCTCTAACCATCATTGCACACTGTAAAAGAAAAGAGTGAGGGATTCTGGGTACTCTAGGCCAACAGGATGCTGGCTAAGGATTTCCAATCAACTCCCATTTGACAGTTAATGCTACTATTTCTCATGCACCATGCTTGTATTCTATTATGCATCCCTAGTCTCAAAACTGCACAATGAATTTTGGAGGAAATAAGAAAATTGTTCCTGAAGTTGTATATAAGCTGCAAGATATTATTTAATGTCACAAAATTAGTGGTAAGATAAAAAATCATATCTATGACACTTATTTTTTAATGAATATTTTTTTCTAAAATTGTTTTGGTTTTTAAACCCTGATTCTGAAAATTAGAAACATAATTAAAATCCAATAAGTGAGGCCAGTCATGGTGGCACACTCCTTTAATTCCAGTACTTTGGAGGAAGAGGTAGGTAGATTGCTGTGACTTCTAGACTAGTCTGGGCTACATAGAGTTCTAGGTTAGCAAAGTCAAATGGTGAGACCCTGTTTCAAAAAAACTCCAGTAAGTGATTAAAATTACATTATTTAGACCTCAGTACAGATATAAATATGTTGTGTTGCTTATAGTCAGGATGTAAAACAGTTTATCACTTAAACTGACACATTTTAAAGGGATATTATTAATAACTACACCAAGAAAAGGGGTGTGAATGGGAGTCTTTCCTAGGAGAACTAGGATGTATGATTGTACTGCCATCAAACTGATGATTTTATTTTGAGCAATGTATCCATAATAGGAAAATAAACTATCATTATGGCATGTATAAAGCAAAATTGTTTAATTTGGAATTTTTGAATTTCCACTTAAAGTTTATCATTGAACATTATACAGACTGAACAGTATTACCTTTCATTAGCCTCCATGCATTGATCCTGGAGTTCCTTCTGTGGTCTCCATTCTTTCACATTAGAGCTATGCTCCTTTGGTCCAGAATGAGTGGGCAAAAATTCCTTATAATAGGAATCTTCCAAACCTAGTAATTTTCCTTGACTGGGAATGAACACATAAACATACTACACAATCAGTCTAATTTCTCCTCACTTGACTTACAGGCTAAGCATTTTATTCTTTGTATTTACTGTAAACTAAGAGCATCACAGACAAGCCCATATATATGGGAGGAATCTGAAATGTAAAAACAGTACATCCTGTTAACAGTACATCTCTTGCCTTGAATAGGACATTAGCCACTGGGCTGGTTCCTCTTTATCTGGTTTGATTTAACGTGAACTGATAGTTTCTAGAACTGCCAGTGACAACGGTGTCCAGTTTGGCCAGCCTACATCCACACCAGGCTCATGGATAACTGTCCTGAAAAGTGGCCTCGGTGGGTGAATACAAAGCATTTTTAAGTGTTCTCATCTATAACCTTAAATGACATCTGTTATGGTATCACCAAATGATAAACAGGGAACTCTGTTTATGTTCAATACAAGCACCCTGTCTACTCCTAACATTATCTGAAAGTTATTTGACATGATAGTAAGATTAAAATGTCAAACTATTGAAGTATTGAAAGACTACAATATTATAGGGGGAGGAGTCATGTGAAGATAAGTGTACCAAGCCTACAAAAACTGCAGACCTTGCCATTCTAATGACCCACAAAAGTGTAAAATATGAAATTCAATATGTATCAAAGGACCATATAACAAAAGAAAAGGAAAGTTTGTGGATACTGAAATGTTTTGATTGCTTAATTACAATTATTAAATGGGCAGAGAAATGCAGTCTATCCCAATGACGTAATTCATCCAAATCATTTTTGAGTTCTTCGTGAATGCTTTGTATAGTTCTGGCTCAGTATATTTAATTTATGAGTTCCATATAGTCCTCACACTTACTATACACATGTGTTGAGACCATGCTGCTTTCCAAATATATATGATTGGTAATAAAATTTGAACATAAAGATTTATAGTTTTATTTGAACAAAAAGATGCTGTAATTTAGAAAAGATAATTACCTGTTTTTTCTTGGTCTCCATTTTTCTTCTTGGATTGACTTCTAATGGGAATAGAAGAATTGAAAATAGGTAATATATAATAATATGTAATCATAATTTATGATATTTATTATCTTAATGATTGATGAGAAAGAAGAACCAGGATAGTGATTGCTGGCTTATAAAACTATTTCATATAACACATACTATGTGATTCTGTTTACATGTTGATTCTATAAAAGGCAAATTCACAAATGACAGTGATTGCTTAGTATTTGGATCAAGAACACTGCACTTAAGCAATTTACTAGGGTAAGTTGACACGGGACAGAAGCTCCGTGTCCAGTGCAGAGGACTTTGGAACTTGGATTTCTTGCTGATGGAGTTACTGAGCCAACCAAAGGAAAGAACATAGCAGAATGTAGAGATTTTTTTGGTGTAGGTTGGGAAAGATGACATTTGAAGCCTGAAACAGGCTTGCTTGAGAAACGGTGATGGTCAGAATTGGGGATACTCTGTGTGGTTAAGAGAGGGAGGAAGAACTGGTAGTTAGTTAGAAGGTACAATGTAGAACTGGCATAGGTGTCAGGTATAAAAGAGAGGGCAAGACCGAGGACAGCCACTAAGTTCTGGGTTTTGGAAACCAAGGTGATGTCAGTGGCATGCATGGAGGACAGGAACGTGAGAGGAAGGAAGGCCTACGGGAGAGTGTACACTCCACCAAATGAGGTTCACGTCTTTCTTTCTACTTGCATAACAGCATACGCATTAAGTGAATGTCTCTGTTTGGAGGCCTTTTTCCATGATGGGTTTCCCTTTCTAGGTTGACATTTGCATGTAAGCTCAGGTAAGTAAGAAAAAACTTCTGGGAGAACATGGCAGGTCCAAGACTATAAGAGAAGCCAGGGCCATGAGGAAAAGGGCTGGGGGCAAACAAAGGGCGCATTTAATGAGTTATCTGTTAAATGGAATCCAAGGAGGGCCTTCATGTTGCAAGGCCTCCTTCTGGGGCACCTTAATGTAGCCGCAGTTTCCACTGGTCCTCAGTTTGAGTGTAAGATTGTGGCACTTACATGGAGTAGATAGTAGTATGTAGAATCTTCAGGGTTATTTAATGTTTTGGGTTTTCGGGGTCGTCTTGGAGGTCTCAATATCTTTGGTTCTTCTTTAGAGACACCTATAAGAAAGGCGATTATAAATAAGTTCTAAATTCTAGAAACCATGTTTTCCTTTGGGTAAATGAGAACTTCTATGCATGTAAACTGTATTTGTTATTTGCCCTATTACATTTCTAGTCATGTGTTTTTCTCCAACTGTCTGATGATCTAGGATTCTGAGAGGAAAAGAGGAGGAAAAGGGAGCAAGTGGTATTTGGCAACGTGGAATAGGAACACAAGTTCATAGAAGGGATAAGGCCAGGAGCATTCTTAGAATATACGGGTTGAATCTACTTCTCACATTTTTACCTGAATGGCAAGAAACATAAAAATACAGTGTCAACTGATTATAGGTATTCTTAGTATTTTAGAAACACTTTAAAGTTTTCTGTGGCTAAATTGGAACTTGACTTTAATACCATTTAAAGTCTGAATTGATGTAGTAGAACAATGCTGTTGTAACAAAAATAAGTTGAAGATGGCAAAGAATCCGAATAATTGCCATGCGAATGAGGAGCAAAAAAGATTCTGAGAATAAAAGAATTCTTGGCCCTGCACCCATCAAATCATCTCTATTCAATCTGAGTATTATTACAGATTCCATTGAACATGGCTATTGGGGCTGGGCAGGCACAAAGGAGGAAGAGAATAGGGAGAGAAACAACTAAACAAAGTTTGTTTGAAAATGTCACAATGAAACCTAATTCTTGCATAAGATCAAGCCAGCCCAATCCTAGGATGGCTGGGGGAGGAAGTTTTCTTCAGTGATGAGGCTCCTGAGATGCTACCCTGCGATGCTATCCCCTGACATGCTACCCTAAGATGCTATCTCCTGAGGTTCCCAACCCTTGATGTTCAGGACCTTTGTCCATGATGATTTTTTTTATACAATGAGCATAAGAGATGTGGGTGGTGGGAATGCTTATTCAAGTTTTGAACCCCCCCTGACAGATTCCTGGCCTTGCCCAGGTGGGCAGCATGGGGCAGGGGTTTGGAACTGTCAGGAGGCTTGCATCCACATTTGCTGGCAGCAGTGGGCTGAGTGGATCGTGGATGCTCAATATAGTTTTATTAACTGACCAATGACTTGTCATCACATATAAAAGCAAATATGCAATACTCCAAAAATAAATGTAAATAACACAACCAATAAAACTCTGGGAAGAAAATCTAGGTGAATTCATGAAGCACTTAGGGCTGTAAATACCTTAATCAAAATTCAGGAGTCAGAAAGCATATATATTTGTTCATCTTAAGTAACTAAAGAGCTGAGATAAGAGTAGGCCAGGAATTCAAGACTGATCTAGAACATATGAGGATCTGGGTTCAATCCTCAACACCATATAAAAAAGACAAAAGATATGTAGTAGTAAAGTCAAAAGACACAAGAAAAACTTGGAAAGCTACATTTTACAACCCCACTGACAAATAATGGGTTGTTGATGTAAACACAGAGCGCTGACAAGAGCCTACAAATGTGCAGACCAACAGGAAAACATCAAAATACACAGATGAGAAGATCAAGATGAGCAAATTAATAAAGCAAATCAGCATCAAAGGCAGCTCGACAAGGGGGACATGATGCAGCAATGATCATTTTTACCACAGACAGATGAACAAAGATTACACAGAAACATAACTCTTACGGGCAGGATGACAGAACAAGTAAGTTCACAGATGGCTGAAGCAAATGCTAATTGTTCCAGACTTTTAGGAAAGTAGACCCACATTAAAAATCAAAACAAAACAAAAACCATCTTTTCTCCCAATAATCCTATTGGCCCTGAAGTCTATCCCATACAATTACAATTCTAGTAAACCAAAAATTTTGAAGATGTTTACTCCAGTACTTTTCATAGTGGCAAAACTTGAGACAAAGCAAGTAAGAACACACACATGTATTTGCAAAGGATAGGAAAGAACATGTGTTTTATAATAAGGGTTCCTAAGAGAGGAGAAAGCGAGTTTGAGTGCAGGGAAGAAGCAGGATAAAAGAGAAAGAGAAGATCTAAGATAAGAACACATTTACAAAAGCATTCATAAATACGCATGTAGGTATTGAGTGTATCATAGCTCTAACAAAGTACAAATACATTGAATTGAATTTTTAGAATTTTTAAGTACTTCTATGCTTTATAGAATTCCCACTAGCTTAGTTTTTCAGCTGCTTCTTTTTTCCTGAGGACATCTAAAACAGGAGGCTGAGCATTATTAAAGGGGTGCTTCCTAAGACACCTGTGAAGTGGACAGCCAGGGAATGAAACAGACTGATGGGTCTGATTGCTCTGCCGACTTTTCTTGAATGGTTTTGTTTCCTGATTTCTACAAGTTTTTTTCTGCAAGTTTATCAGTACACAAGTTTATTCTATGCCCCGATGTCCTTCTTCATTTTGTTCCTTTGGGGGAACACAAGGCTGTAAACTAATCGTTCTGTCCCCATAATTACAAAAATGACACAAACATTTATAATCACAAACTTTCCACAGTGTATCAATGCTGGCACTAGCAAAATTAGGTTTGTGGCTATTTCATGTGATGTGAATGAGAAATGCTTGCTTGCAAAGGTTACAGCCAGGAGGCAACACATTTATTCATACTGTAGTGCTGATAATAATTTCCTTAAGTGTTTTTGATTGATCAGAAATGTACCTTTTGGATAACAAATTGACAAATATTTCAATATTTTGTATCCAGAAGAAAGGGGAAAATTTTAAAACTCATTGCTAGCATTTGCTTTAGAAAGTTAAAGTTCAGTATTTTTCTCATTTTAGTGATAATTACCCTATTTTACTTAAGTATTCACACAGTGTGATTTGCATAAGTGTTGAGTGCCTAAATCAGGTGTCAGCAGCTGTACATAAAGCTAACTCTTAAGAAGTCAAATTTTCAGTTTTTGTAAATTTCCATTTCCTCTTGACTGGCTGTGACCTTCAAGAAATATAATGACATGGAATTCTTAAGGACTTCTCCTTAGGCGCCCTAGGAACAGACTCATCCAGGACTGATGACCACTTGCATTTCCCCCATTTAGCTCATACACCCTCTGGCCAGGTTAGGAAACCTAGAGATCTGAATTCAAGTTTTGAGTGTGCAGCTACGTTCCAAAGGGCTCCTCTTGGCCTGGCATGACCTCCTTCCTTTATCTCTGCTCAGTTCTCACTGGACATCACTTGATCTTTTGCTGAGGGTGTTTGTGTTCTCTTAGCTGACAGGAGGAACAGGGTTAAGGCAAGGGGCTTGTCTTGGCTGAGTGTCCTTAGCAGCATGGGTAGATAGAGCATATTGTCCCATTTTAGAGGGTCTGTTTCAGTCTCCTGACCTCAACAAGAAAGCTACTGCTCCTCCCTTCATCTGAGCTGCACAACCCAAGGCTTTGGACACCAGGGATGGCTTACAACAATTGCTATGCTATCGTGGGCTTTCACTGTGAAATCTCTGCTTTGGGAACTTGCTACTAACACACAGAGCTTTGAGGATGTTTAGACCTCCACTTGGCCATCCTATCATTTGTTTCCCTTAATCCCCCCCATATATATGTTGGAAGGTATTCTGCATGCTATGGGAGAAGGAGAAAGGCAATCATCAATATAACGCAGATGAAAATTCTGTGACCTCCAACAATGAACTGATTGCAATATATATTGTTGCAATAATGGTACAAATGATATGGAGTAACAAACTACTTTTTGATTGAATTTAAGCCCTACACCAGGAGATAGAATCCATACCTGACACTGCTTATGGCTAAGAACAAGAGAATAGATAGATCACAGACCTAGGGGAAAACCTATTATTATTCTGCTGAAGGAACACAGCAATAAAATAACTCCTAATGACATATTGCTATATCCATCCATCAGTGCTTGGCTCAATCCTTATTAGAGAGGCTTCTTCTTTAGTAGTTGGGTATTAGCATAGAGATCCACAACTGGACAATGTGCAGAGGGTGACTTTGGAGCACTGAGTTCTTGTTTTTTAATTTTATTTTTAACTTAAATTTAAATTAGAAACAAGGTTGCTTCACATGTCAATCCCAGGTCCCTCTCCCTTTCCCTTCCTTCCTCCCATGCACTCCCACCAACCCTCTCAATACACTCTTATTTCCCCAGGGATGGTGAGGCCCTCTATGGGGGTGTCCATAGTTTGCCATTTCATCCAGGCAAGGGCTTAGACCCTTCCCCAAGAGTCCAGGGTGAGAGTGCATCTCTCATTGTTGGATGGGCACCCAAAGTCCATTTGTATGCCAGGGATAAATACTGATCTACTATCCAAGGCCCAATAGATTACCTAGGCCTCCTCACTGACACCCACATACAGGGGGTCTTGATCAGTCCTATGCTGGATTCCCAGCCATAAGTCTGGGATTCAATAGCTAACACTTGTCAAGTCAGCTGTTTCTGGGGGTTAAACCAGCTCAATCTTAACCCCTTTGCTCATCAGTCCTCCCTCTTTGTCACCGGGTTCCTTGAGTTCAGCTCAGGGTTTACTATGGGAGTCTGCCTCTGCTTCCATCAGCCATTGGATGAAGGTTCTGTTCCCCAGATTCTCTGGCCGTGGGATTGTAGGCTGGCACTTCCCAGATCTATGTCTAAAATCCATATATGAGAGAGTACACACCATGTTTGTCTTTTTGTGACTGGGTTACCTCACTCAGGATGGTTTCTTCTAGTGCCATCCATTTGCATGCAAATATCAGGATTACATTTTTTCTGCTGAATAGTACTCCATTGGGTAAATGTACCACATTTTCTCTATCCACTCTTTGGTTGAGGGGCATCTAGGTTGCTTCCAAGTTCTGGCTATTACAAATAATGTTGCTATGAACATAGTGGAACAGACATCCTTGTTGTATGAATGGCATCTTTTGGATATATGCCTAAGAGTGGAATTGCTGGGTCTTGTGGTAGACTTACTTCCATTTTTCTGAGAAATCTCCATACTGATTTCCAAAGTGGCTGTACGAGTTGGCACTCCCACCAGCAGTGGAAGAGTGTTCCCCTTTCTCCACAACCTCTCCAGC